CTCCAAAGAGAAAGGAAAACTTGAAATCGCATCATATGACCCCTTTAAAGCCGGTCCATGACGGCAAGAACCCCCTCAACATCTGGCAACACACAGGCTTCCGATGACAGCGGCTCAGATGTGGAATTAACAGCTAAAGTCTGTCTACACTGGACGCGACCAAGTGAGTGTTAAAAATAATTTTAATACGTCATAAATTGAACGAGGCATCAGTTTACTGTCGGGAATGTGTCGTGTCGCATCCAGTCGCAGATTATAATGGTTTATAGTATTTTGTCACACTGTTTGCGTCCAATGTAAACACAGTACGCCTAGTCATCTATTGTGGTAATTTGTAGGTCATGTCAAAAAGTTGTTGGTTTAGATAAATATCTGTATTCTGTACGTTTGACTTGTGTATGATAATTTTGAGCTTCTGGTACGATACTTGGACATTTCCAATCTGGCAACACTGATCCACATTGACTGCCACAAATATCCACAGCCCCCTGCCATCAGCTCCCGCCTCTCTCACACACACAAGCGCGACTTTAGCACTAGATTTAGCAACTTTCAGACCCTTTTAGCGGCTTTTTTCCATAGAATATTCATACTGACAAACAGTGTTGGGGGTAACGCATTACAAGTAACGCAAGTTATGTAATCATATTACTTTTTTCAAATAACTAGTAAAGTAACGCATTACTTTTTTAATTTACAAGAAAATATCTGAGTTACTTTTAACCATACTAATAAGCAAAAATGACTTTAGATAAACTAACAATTGTGCTTCATTGTTTTTTTTTTATTGCTGAAGAGTGTTTCTTCTCCTGCGTTCTACTGTACAGACGTGAATGTACTTTCCCTTCAGCCTGAGGTTTATTCATTACACTTTTTGGTGTGAAAGGCTTTTACATTTGCTATAAATATAACTTCTTATACTAAAAACAATCAAGCCCTGCTCATATTTAAAAAGTAACGCAAAAGTAATATAACGCATTACTTTCCATAAAAAGTAACTAAGTAACGTATTTAGTTACTTTTTTATGGAGTAACGCAATATTGTAATGCATTACTTTTAAAAGTAACTTTCCCCAACACTGCTGACAAACCTAGCGACTTTTTTGGATAAACCTTATATGGTTCAGTTGGAAGATTTCGACCAGTGCTGTCCCGCGAACGAGGTCTGACTTTCCCGGAGAAGTGTCCCCTCTCTCGGCGTCTGTTCTGTGCAGTGAGCGGCAGAGAAGCAGCGCATTCAGATGGCCGCACCGCAGCCGACTCGTCAATAAATGCATACAACACAGCGTTTCCTAGCACCTGTAGCTTACTGATTGTCTGGAATTATAAATATGAGTGGAATTATAAATATGAGTGTAGTTCGTCTGTTAATATCACATGCACTTTTTTGTTTGTTGTTTTTTTTGTTTGTTACTCAGACGCAGGCCGTGCGCTGCACGAGACAAAAAAGTAATCTAGCAAAAACAACCGCATAGCCGCTCTTTAGTGTAGATGCATGTTGATTTTATCAGACGATGCTGTGATTATAAATGAGAGTGACTCCTGGTTAACATGTATTAAAAGGGGTCGTGTTTAGTCACTATTTAGTGTGGAATTTTTTGACAATATTCACTCATCATTAAAGTAAAATATGGCATTCTAAGTCAATATACTGCAGTATTTCCTCTCTCAATCAGTACAAAATATGGTTAACACCCGGTCATGCATGAAAAAAAAATACCGTCATGTACCGTGAAACCGGTATAATTTTGAAAAATACTGTGATATAAATTTTTGGTCATACCACCCAGCACTATAAATTCTTTATCATATTTGGAGAAATTTAGCATCACATCACTTGCTCACCAATGGATCCTCTGCAGTGAATGGGTGCCGTCAGAATGAGACAGCTGATAAAAACATCACTATAATCCACAAGTAATTCACACCACTCCAGTCAATCAGTTAATGTCTTGTGAAGAGAAAAGCTGTGAGTTTGTAAGAAACATATCAATCATTAAGATGTTCTTAACTTCCAATCATTGCTTTCCGATGAAATCGGAGTCCTCTATCCATAATATTGCTATTTCTGGTGAAAAAGTCGTCTGGTCTGAATCAGGAGAGAAATATGCACAGATCAAGCACTGTTCACAAGCGAAAACAATTGTAAACAAATATATCAGTGGATTTTGATGTGAGAGGACAACAGGGGATTTCCACTTCCTTTTTCCAATGGTGGAACTGTTTGAACTTTTTTTTTTCCAGAGAAGCAATGGTTTAAAGTTTAAATGATAGATTTGTTTCTTACAAACACGCAGCTTTTGTTAAAATGATGGACTGGAGTGGTGTGGATTATTGTGATGTTTTTATCAGCTGTTTCTCTCATTCTGACGGCACTAGGGACGCACAGAAATGAACATTCTGGGCCGAAACCGAAACTTCTAGACGCACTTGGCCGAAAACCGAAACAAAAATGCTTTAACAATTATTTATTATTATTATAAATAATAGAAATTATTTTGTACAACTTTTTAATTTAACTCAATTTTAATGATAATGAAAATAACCATGCTTTTATTGAAAGTAAAAATTAAACTGGACAAAAAATATATTAATATTAAATATCAATATATTGTTTTTATTCAGTTCTGTGCAACAGAATCAGATTTAACTGAATTTATTTTTGTATAATTATCCAAATAATGTACAGTCCTACAAAGCTATTATTATCAGAGCATGTGAGCAGAGCATAGCGTCATTTTACCAGCGTTGCCTAGTACAGCTCTACTACACCATGTTACAGCACAGTAGCGCTATTGCAAACAGGACCAAGTTTACTACTTAGTATACTAAGCATACTACTATACTATTGATCATGTGCAGTACGTGAGTGGAGCGTTGGCATAGGCCATGACCAACTCAACTGAACACACATTCATAGAGAGGAATATCCACGCAGTGATGATGGCCAGAGAAACCTGCGCGCTGAACACTACTGGGCTGTGCGGCGTGCCATATATTTTCAGCCGTTTTTCTCTTTCGGCCAAAAACCAAAAAAGCCATTTTCGGCGGCTGAAATTTTGGTGCATCCCTAGACGGCACCCATTCACTGGTGAGCAGGTGATGCAGTGCTACTTTTCTCCAAATCTGTTCCCATGAAGAAACAAACTCATCTACATCTTGGATGGTCTGAGGGTAAATAAAATTTCAGCACATTTTTGGGACTATTCCTTTAAGAGCTCTGAATGTTTCCTGCTATCTAGCGTCGCACGTTTTGCCCATAAACACTGTGTAACATGATCCTAATGTCAACTAGGTAATCACCAAGTAAATATCAAGATATACAGAGCGCTCCACATGTTAAATAGAAGCTTTTGAGCTTTGTTTGTTCTCATACAGAACTGTGAGTTCACCAACTGTCTATCCGATTTTTTCAACTCAAAACTAAACAAAGAAAAACATCTAAAGTAATAAAGTTTGGCATATAAATAAATACACAAAGTACTTTTTAAATGTATGTACAAACATATAAATTTTCCAGCACAAAACAGCGTTTGATGTCAAACCAGAATGCCAATAATTTTGCCTCAGACAAAAAAAAAAAAGTCTTTCTGTTTAGGAATTGCGGTTTGCTTGTCCTCCACTGAAAGTCCTTGAAAAGCTATTGATGTGAAGATACATTTAAAACATCTCAGTTTAGCACAAAACACAGTTTGATTGGGTGGGTGCTGGCTGACATGATATAAGCTGATGATTATTTTTCATGCTATGACTGATAACCTAAATATGACTGATATTAAAATGCTATTTTGTCTAAAAATAAATAAAAACAAACTTAAATCAATAGTACCAATTTAAAATCAATGTTGTGACGCTTAACGTATTTTAGGCATCACAACATTTTAGTATACAGTATGAAGTATTGATTATTTATTTATAGAAAGTTGAACAGTGGGACCGCTAACATATCAAGTTCATGATAACAAAAATAACCTAAAATCAAAAAATTGGGAGAAACAAGCATTAATTGTGTACTTTTTTTAAATCAGTTTTTAACAACATGGTCCTGAAATGTAATCCCTATTACAAACCAGTTGTTTAAAATAATAATAATAATAAAAACTATAACAAATCAAAGCTCTTTTGTGCCACACTTTGACACAAGTAAAACAGCAATGCTGTCCAGTTATTAACAGGGCATAATTAAGCATATGAACATATCAAAGATCATCTCAATTTACACATAATAAACTAACCGAAGCCAGTTTCAGATCACTGCCAATAGAAAGATCCAACAGATCAATCCCGTTCTCCTTGATTTCCCAGTGCACCATCATATGAATAATGAAGCCAATCCCTCAAGAAAACCCACATCTCTTATTATATAAGATTTCTTCCAGGATGACAAATGCACCTCCCTATTAATTTCTCATGGCTTTAATAAACTTAAACACACACTGTATTTCCAGACATTAGTGCTGTTGTGCTTAAAGAGCAGATTCATCTAAATTTAGCAGGAAAGATAAACAGTTTAGTGAGATGTTGGAATGAAGGGGGGAGGGAAAAAAATTCAGGAGCCAAGAAATCAGTGTCAACAAAAGCAGTCAACCCAAAACATGTTTATAGACCCGTAAAACACATGCAATCATATTTTTACCGATGCACGAGATTATCACCCAGTATTAGGCGCGATATGCACGCCATAACAGACGATCTGAACAGATTTTGGGGATAGGATGAAATGAATTACATTACGCAATGGCTGACTGCTTGGTGAACATGCAGGCCATGCACTGTCAAAACCTGGGAAAGCACCCTGTCAGCGCACATCCCAGCATACATCCATCTCAAATCATATGCATAACGTCTGAGAAAAAGCCCAAAAGCATGAACGCCTTCACTAAACAGCGTTTTACATGGTTTTTTATGACTGCATCATCGGGGAAACGCCATAGCTGGCTCAGGAAAAGCCCCACCGTTAGATATAACGCAGCCGTAATGGGAGTCCGGGGTTCCCAGAGCGAGTGCATTGGGAAAGCATGGATTAAAATGTATAATCTTGATATTTTCGGCTAAATGCATTGTTTGTAGGTCGCTTAAAGCGGTGGTTTCTTTGTAAAGCGGCCGGCGGGTGGTAATGGCAGTGGTGTACCTGTAGGCGCGCTCTCCGCGCACTGTGTTCTTTCTGTAGGGAATGATGTTGGTGCCGTTGCTGTCCGGAATGATGTCGTTGTTGTTCTCTCCATTGGGGGACAGAGCTTGCATCGGACCGGGCATTTGACTCTGTGAAATACTCGATCGGACGAGGAAAGGGGCGTCGGGGTTGTTCCCTGCCGCCTGCCTGTTTGTTCTCAGTTTAAATCCCGTTTGTAAGAGTGTAAGTGTGTGTGTGTGTGTGTGTGTACAGTGTATATATATATGTATATATATATATATATATATATGAGAATGTGTCTTTCGCTCAACAGCGACCTCACAGGCGAGTCACGGAACTACAGTCATGTGACTTTGGGAGGGGTGCTTCAGATTTGAGCCAGTGGAACTTTGCCTCTTCCTAAATACGTCGTTATATATTATATATATATATGATGTATTTTATAGGAATATAGTTTTGTGGTCTGTCGGGAAAAAGTTCTCAGGTTTCTCTTCCTAATGACAGACCTGCATCTAGGCCCCAAAATATGTTCATTTTTTATTTTGCATTAAAATGTGCATTTTTCCCCCCACACTAGTAAATATCAAAAATGTGATAAAGATTAATAAATATGTATGGGTTGACAAAGACTCACCGGAAATGTATGACTAAACGTTATCTCTACTGCTGCATATAAATGAATCTGCTCTTTACGCACAACTAAATGTCTGGAAATGCATGCGACAGTGCATAGCATGCTTAATCTTATTATTGTCTTCAGGAAGACAAAATAGATCAATAACAGCATTAATAATTATTCAAATGTTTCTGGAGCACCAAATCAGCATGTTAGTTTGATTTCTGAAGACTGGAGTAATGATGCTGAAAATTCAGCTTTGC